TCGCCCGTCCCGTCACCCACCCCGTCACCACCCCGTCACCCACCCCGTCACCCACCCCGTCGCCCGTCCCGTCACCCGTCCCGTCACCCACCCCGTCACCCACCCCGTCACCCACCCCGTCACCCGCCCCGTCGCCCGTCCCGTCACCCGTCCCGTCACCCACCCCGTCACCCACCCCGTCACCCACCCCGTCGCCCGTCCCGTCACCCACCCCGTCACCCACCCCGTCACCCACCCCGTCGCCCGTCCCGTCACCCGTCCCGTCACCCACCCCGTCACCCACCCCGTCACCCACCCCGTCACCCACCCCGTCACCCACCCCGTCACCCACCCCGTCACCCACCCCGTCACCCACCCCGTCACCCACCCCGTCACCCACCCGTCACCCACCCCGTCACCCACCCCGTCGCTTGCACTGTCGCTTGCCCCGTCACCCGTCACCCACCCCGTCGCCCGCACTGTCACCCACCCCGTCGCCCGCACTGTCGCCTGCCCCGTCGCTTGCCCCTGTCGCTTGCCCCGTCACCCACCCCGTCGCCCACACGCCCCTCCCGCGTGGCCACGTACGTCATCAGAATTCGAAAGGGTTCAATTGAGCTCCCCGCTGCGTTAAGCGTCGTTCCGTACGACGTGGCGGTCACGTGACGCGCGTGCGTGCAAGGCACCATGGGAGTCGCTTGCTCTTGGCAAAGCGCCGCACCTCTTAGCGTGCCGTCGTTCCCCAAGTAGGCGGGAGTTGCCCACGTTGTACCCCACCGCGTGCGGCCTGCCCATCGGCTCGACCGCGGCGGGATCGATTTTAGAAGCGTGCCGTGGGTCGTCGTTTCGGCTGCCGCGCCGGGAGATTGAACCGGCGTCAGATTTCGCTCCGAGGAAGGGGGGGGGGGGGAGAGCCGGGGTGGACGAGGAGAGAGTGTGAATGAGAGAGAGCAAGAGAGTTGCGTGAGAGAGTGAGAGAGAGTGAGTGTGTGAGAGAGTGTGAGAGTGAGAGAGAGTGAGTGAGTGAGAGAGTGAGAGAGAGTGCGAGAGAGAGTGAGAGAGAGTGAGTGTGTGAGAGAGTGTGAGAGTGAGTGAGTGAGAGAGTGAGAGAGAGTGCGAGAGAGAGTGTGAGAGAGTGAGAGAGTGTGAGAGAGTGAGAGAGAGTGAGTGTGTGAGAGAGTGTGAGAGTGAGTGAGTGAGAGGGTGAGTGAGAGGGTGAGAGAGAGTGTGAGAGAGTGAGAGAGAGTGAGAGAGTGTGAGAGAGTGAGTGTGTGAGAGAGTGAGAGAGTGTGAGAGTGAGTGAGTGAGAGGGTGAGTGAGAGGGTGAGAGAGAGTGTGAGAGAGTGAGAGAGTGTGAGAGAGTGAGAGAGAGTGAGTGTGTGAGAGAGTGTGAGAGTGAGTGAGTGAGAGGGTGAGTGAGAGGGTGAGAGAGAGTGTGAGAGAGTGAGAGAGAGTGAGAGAGAGAGACTTTGACTTTTAAACAACTTTTATTGCTGCCAGCAGCAAAAGCACTGGAGGCGATTTCAATATGAAATACACAAAATCACCAGCAAACAAAAGAAAACAAACGTTACAAATCGTTACAAATCCACGCGCTCTGGTGCTGAGAGCACCGCGCACAATACAAAAGAAAATTCACGTGGTTGTGGTGTCATCGCGCACGCCACGGTGACGAGCGAGCGCTTTAGAAGGTGAACACCACGAGGGTGCCGTCCACGCTGGTACAGAGAGGGCCTTTCCGGCTCCCCAGCGTTCAAAGAAGACGTGCACATCCCCAACGTGTGTGTGGTATGCGTGCTCTAGCCGGAGCCGCGCCTTGAGCAGGCCCCTGAACACTGGAAGCTCCACAGAGCAGCCGTCAGTGTCACCTTCCAGCATCTTCTTCCTCGTTCTGTACACCGCCAACTTCGCCTGAGCACAGGCGAAGTTGGCGAGGTCATTGCGCTTGTTAGCCAGGTAAGTCACCACCCCATATACGAAGCTGCTGTTGTAGAAGGGCACCCCCAGTTTCCTAAAGATGTCCCCCAAAAGGCGGAACATTGGTTTGAGCCGCTGGCATCGTAAGTATTGGTGGGGCAGATCCTCCCTGGCACCGCAGGAAATGCACAAGTCTGTTACCCCTGGCGAGAGATTCGGCTGAGCCACATGGCCGATGGCAACGTGCAGTGTGCCAACCTCCACTGGAGGTCACCGCAGCGTTTGGCTACGGGAGAGACTTGTACGTTTGTTTCCACTGAGGGGCGGCCGCAATGAGAGGAGAGAAATGGTCAGAGTAGTGGATAGAGGAGTGTGTGTGTGAGAGAGTCGGTGAGTATTGGGAGACTGATAGGGTGGAGCGAGTGAGAGAGAGTGGATGGGAAAGCCGTGCGTTGCGAGATTGTCAACGCCTGGTAAGAGTGGAGAAGGGGGAAGACTTTTGTGCAGTGAGGGAGAGAGCGTGAGAGAGAGAGAACACGTGGGAGAGTGGGAAAGAGAGAGTGTGAGAGTTTTTTAAACCCAATTTTTTAATCCTTTATATTAAGTTCACTTGCTTGCTTGCTTGCTTACGACCGTGCAAATCTTTCGGTCGTTTTTTAACCCACTTCCCGTGATCCAATCGAGCTGACATTTTCCACACAGACTCGTTGTGCGTGACAATTAATGTTCGTGAAAAATTTTTTTCCTAAATGTTCCACTTTTTAGGACAAAAATATTATATTTCATTACCAATTGCTTAATGGTGCCATGCAATCATCTGACCCATAGGTGGCAGCCATCTCAAGCCAGAGGACGAGAGGACTCTAGCCGCCACGCATATAAAGGATTTATAGTGAAAAACTTTGTTTTTACGGGTTATACTTGTTATTGCTGCTAAGCAGAAAAACGCACTGGAGCGGATTTTCGATGCAAGATCACGTCAAATGCAGCATCACGTGCCACGCGCATCGCCACACGCCGTGTCGTCGCACGCGCCACGGGCGGACCAATAGGATTCATGACAAAGTCAAATCGAGAATTCTGTTTTGATTTAAAGCTTTCGTGACTGCAGGGATTCGTATTCGTGATCCTTTCGGGCAAGTCACGTAGAAGGGAAACAATAAAATAATATTAAATATAAAAATATATTAAAAATATATTTCAATATAAATATATTAATATTTTATTATTTCCCTTCTACGTGACTTTACCAAAAGAACCAAGAAAATCAAGAATTCTGTTTGCGCCGGTGCGGAGGGCTTCACCGCCCCCCCTCCCCCCCCATCGTTTGTAGAACACGCACGCGTCCCAGGCATCGTAGCGGTACACGCGTGTGCTCCAGCTGAAGCCGTGGCTGGAGCACATTTGTGATGGAGTGCAGAGAGAGACAGAACGAGACGGAGAGAGTGAGCGAGAGAGTGAGCGAGAGTGAGCGAGGGAGTGAGCAAGAGAGTGAGCGAGGGAGTGAGCGAGAGAGTGACCGAGAGAGTGAGCGAGGGAGTGAGCGAGAGAGAGAGCGAGAGTGAGCGAGAGAGAGAGCGAGAGAGAGAGCGAGAGAGTGACCGAGAGAGTGACCGAGAGAGTGAGCGAGAGAGTGAGCGAGAGAGTGAGCGAGAGAGTGAGCGAGAGAGTGAGCGAGAGAGTGAGCGAGAGAGTGAGCGAGGGCGAGTGACCGAGGGAGTGAGCGAGAGCGAGTGATCGAGAGCGAGTGAGCGAGAGGTGGGGGTTTTACATATAGCAAAGTTTAAAAATGTTTAAAAAAAAATTACGAAATGATGAACGAAGCAAAGTACCGACTACACCGAGCATCTTCTTGTTTCCACTGATCGTAAAAAAAACGAGATTGAGAGAGAGAGGGAGGCAAAGAGAGAGAGGGAGGCAAAGAGAGAGAGGGGGGTGGGGATGGGAGGGAGGAGAGGGGGGACGAGAGGGAGAGAGGCAAGGCAGCCGCTCTCTTATCAGGGAGGACACTCGGCACGGCTGCGCGCGGCGTTCCCCTTATCAGCTCTCGGGCTCCCATTCATCACGGAGACGCGCGCACACACGCACACTCGCATGCTCGCTCACACGCGCACGCACACAGGCACACTCGCATGCACTCGTTCACACACGCGCACACACGCACATTCGCACGCTCGCTCACACGCTCACACACGCACGTGCGCACACACGCACACGCTCACACACGCACACTCGTTCACACACGCGCACACACACGCACACTCGCACACACACGCACACTCGCACATGTTCACACATGCACACACACACTCACTCGCACACACGCACTCACGCACACACGCACACTCGCAAATGCACTCACCCACACACGCACACTCTCACGCACTCTCATGTACTCTCGCGCACACACTCACACGCACACTCTCACACGCACACACTCTCTCACACACACACACTTACACACGCAGATGGACATGCACACATGCACTCTCGCACACACAGGCACACACAGGCACACACGCACTTGCACACGCACACACTCGCACTCTCACCCACAAACTCACGCACTTACGCACGCACACATGCACACTCGCGCACACTCACACGCACTCCCACACACATGCGCAGACTCACACACACAATCAAACACGCACACTCTCACAAACGCACACACACGCTCTCTCACACGCACATGGCGGTTATCTGAGCCGGTCCTGGGCCTGCTCTAGGTGGACTCAGCCTAAAATGAGCACCCGGTGCGGTGTGTAGTAAACATCGCCACTGGGGAGACAAAGGCGGCCGGGCGTGGTGCTGGCCACCCATCCCCCTCGTGTACCGTTCCAGCCTTCATAGGTGCTACTCGCTAACAGCACTTGCCCCAACAGTCGGTTAAATGTCCTGTACGGGGGATCTTTGTCTTTTGTTGTGTGCGTTAGTGTTTGTATGTGCGTGTGCATACGTTTGTGTCCAGTTTGTCGTTGCGGAGAATCAAAGTAACGCGACAATTCAACACAATTGTGTTAAATCGAATGCCGCTCGTGAAATTCCATTTGTTGAGGCTATAATGTTGGTGGGGGGGGTGGATCTTTGTCTTTGTGTTGCAGGCTCCACGCTGGAAGGCACGATCAGCTGTCGAAAGCAGCGCAAGGACCGCCGCTCGCTCGACATCGTGCTGACCATCGGCTCCGTGCGCGCTCGCTACTTCATGCAGTGAAATCCACTGCTGGATGAGAGCCAGGAGGGCAGCGTGACGGGCCGTGTTGGAGAGAGACACACGTCAGCCGTCTATCGCCGAGATCCTACGTGAACATCTCGCCCACCGTGTGGTGCTCCCTGGTTGGCGAGATGTTAACCACCTCGCCTGGTGTACAGGAGGTCGTGGGTTCGATCCCGACCCTGACACCTGCTGCTGTGTATTTGGAGTTTGCGTCTCTCATCATCGTCACGGTGGCTAGGAGATGTTAACTACCTCGCCCGCCTGGTATACAGGAGGTCGTGGGTTCGTTTTCGACCCTGACGCCTGCTGCTGCTGTATATTTGGAGTTTGCGTGTCTCTCTCTCTCATCATCATCACAGTGGCTAGGAGATGTTAACCACCTCACCTGATACACAGGAGGTGGGTTCGATCCCGACCCTGACGCCGACTGCTGCTGCTGTATATTTGTAGTTTGCGTCTCTCATCATCATCACGGTGGCTAGGAGATGTTAACCACCTCGCTTGGTACACAGGAGGTCTTGGGTTCGATCCTGACCCTGACGCCTGCTGCTGTATATTTGGAGTTTGCGTGTCTCTCTCATCATCACAGTGGCTAGGAGATGTTAACCACCTCGCCTTGTACACAGGAGGTCGTGAGTTCGATCCTGACCCTGACGCCTGCTGCTGTATATTTGGAGTTTGCGTGTCTCTCGTGCCGTGGTCGCGTGGATTATTAGCCAGGTCCTCCAGCTTTTGCCCTTCAAATTTAGAATCAACATCAAGCGTTCAGAGTTTATTTGGCTGCTAGACATTTCCACGTGATGATGACGATGATGAGCCGCTTCGACGAGCTGTCATTTGCGATAGCCGGTTCCGCTTCTGAAAAAGTAACAAAATGGCTCAAGACAGCTTTACCTGATGAAATAAAACATTGGTATAGTTTTATAAAATCCGAACTCGAGCTTCCTGCGATGTATCCGGCTTGTCGAGTGTTCGCCGTTGACAGCCTCGGCCTCGCCATGATGTGAAGACCACAGTTCTCAAGGGTAGAGAGTTCACGTCTTCACTCAGTTCCTGATACGAGGGGGCAGGGACCAAACTACGTAGCGTAAGTTGTAAGTTCGGGTGAAGATACGATTTTCCGTAACTCCCGAGCAAATAAGAGACGACCATTAGACGTCGTAAAATTACGAGGGATTGGGTGGTCAGGGTCCACTGGTAAGTTGATAGTTAAACGAGAATATGGCGTGAATACAACAAGTAACGTGATTAACAACATTCAAAAATAACTCCATCGCACGAAGCAATGCGATCATGGCGGCCATTTTACATGGTGGGGCATGGCAGCCATTTTACATGGGAGGGCATGGCGGCCATGTTGCCACGGGGGTCGTCTTCCTCGCCCCTGATTGGCTGATTGCAGTGGGAGTGATTACGCAACCCCAAGCAACAGCTGTTACGTGGACGAGCGTTCGAATCCCACTACGGACACCCGTATTTAGTTTAACTCGTAGTAGGAGGCTCTAAGCGACCAAAACTATGAATGTGTCGTTATGCCCGCCACCACCCGACACGGCCAATTAGCGAAGGTTTGTCACGTAAACAAGAATTGCCAATTCGTTACCGGTTCAGAATAACCGGTTTGTGTTGTTGGCGAGTAAACAAACACGACAGCATTTCCTTCGACTTACGATCTGTTCACCTTTCGATTTAAAGCTTTCGTGACTGCAGGGATTCATCTTCTTGGTTCTTTCGGTAAAGTCACGTAGAATGTAAGTGATAAAATAATACAAAATAAAACATTAAATAATTCTCACGACGTTTCGGCCACAACGCAAGCAGCCGTCCTCAGGTGGAGAGCAGGTCTGTCGAGTAGACAGAAGTCATTCAGACTCTTGTCTATTTCATTATTTCCCTTCTACGTGACTTTACCGAAAGAACCAAGAAGTTAAGACTATCGATTTTAATGGAAAAATAACGGATAAAACACCGTAAGATGATTACAAATGTCATGTTAATAGCTTCAAAAAGTCAAAGATTCTCAACTTGCTCGCCATCGTTGTCAACGCGCGCCTGGAATCTTCTCCAGGTGGTCTCCACAACCCGGAGGGACATTTATTGCGTTTGCAAATTCTTAGAAGTGTTAAACAAGAAATGTTAAGCTCGCTGTACGTGGCCTTAACCAGACTACACAGGCGAGTGCTGTTAAATCCTGGACGCAGTGCCGGATTATTCTAGTAGCAGAAGTAGCTACATATGTAGTAGCTACTACATGTGTAGTAACTACTACATGTGGAGTAGCTGCTACACATGCAGCTGCTACACATGTAGTTATTACACATGTAGCTACTGCACATGTGTAGTAGCTACTGCACATGTGTAGTAGCTACTACACATGTGTAGTAGCTACTACACATGTGTAATAGCTACATGTGTAGTAGCTACTACACATGTGTAGTAGCTACTACACATGTGTAGTAGCTACATGTGCAGCAGCTACATGTGTAGTAGCTACTACACATGTGTAGTAGCTACTACACATGTAGCTACTGGCCCCGCACTTCCAAGGGCACCTCGCTAAATGGTTTCAAGCTATCCGTTCCTGTTCAGCGATTCTGCATTTGCTCTATTACTATAGTACTATACTGCCTTCTTTACGAACGACTGGGTATTTAAGGTTAGCGATTTGTCTTATTATCTGTCCGTATAGCAAATGAAAAATACAATTACTTTACTATGCAAGTTACACGTTTGTGTTTTCATAATTATACTCTTTGGTTCGTTCGGTTAAGCAAAGAGTGTGGGTCCTTGCAGTCATGAAAACTTTTAATAATTATGTTTGTGAGACTAGGCTCTAAGGAAAGCTGTCTCGGGTGTCGACCAATCAACTTCAAAGACAGTGCGTACACTATCAGAGTTATGTTTTTTGTTTGCATTATGACTGCAGGTATTGTGGTCTATGCAAACATGACTCCTCGTAAAAAAGGTGTCAGTTTTGTTGCCAGATAGAAGGGTATAAAAAACCAATTATCATATTTTGCTACTGACAAATGAGGTTCCAATGGTGTAAATGCTTACCCCGAGCTCTCATACTCTGATGGTGCATTGTCTTTGAGTTGTGCGCCTTTTGGCGTCATCTGGTCCAACACCATGTGAGACTCGGCTCTAAGGAAAGCTGTCTCGCGTGTGGACCAATCAACTTCAAGGACAGTGCATACATTGTCAGAGTTATGTTTTTTGTTTGCATTACGACTGCAGGTATTGTGGTCTATGCAAACATGACTCCTCGTAAAAAACGTGTCAGTTTTGTTGCCAGATTAAAGGGTATAAAAAAACAATCATCAATTATCATGTGTTTTTTTATTTATCTAGTGCCCCTTTATACTATATGCTACAGACCCCACATTAGCTTCATCCGGCACTGCCGGGCACCCAAGCCCATCAATGTGTACAAAACACAGGTGCGCGGTTTTCATTGGTGCACTCCACTGAGCGGAGAGAGAAACACTTCTACGGCTACCACCGGCTTCTCCCCAGACTCACCACTCGATCCCCTCTCTCTACCCCCTGGTTCCCTTTTCACCCTGCTTACTCTACCCCAGCGGACGGGAACCTATGGCTCGCGAGCCATATATGGCTCTTCCAGTGACTGCATTTGGCTCCCAGCCAATTTTGAGTTGAAAAAAAAAGAATAAAAAAATAAAAAATAAAAATCAGTTTGGAACTGATTTAAAAATACTTGTGATATTGCTTAATAATAGTGTGTCATTTTAAAGTAAACAGAAATTAGTTTTGAAGATAAATTTCACGGGTCACGCCTGCACGAAGCTCAACCTCACCACGTACGAACCAGACTACACAAGGCCATCAGCAAAACCATGCGGCACCAGAAGTCGCATTAAAAGTAAGACACATTTAATGTATTATACGTTAAAAATCCTATATGGCTCTCAATGAAATATATTTAGAAATATTTGGCTTTTATGGCTCTCCCAGTCAAAGAGATTCCCGACCCCTGATCTACCCGTTCTCACAGTGACCCCGCCTACGTCACGGGGTCTCCCTTAAGTACCCCAGGAGACGTGACGTCATCGCACTGAACGGCACAGCTGACGTCACGCCCCCATTTTTACTCCTCTACACAAGTGCTGTTAGCGAATAGCACCTCATGAAGGCTGGCAACCCCGCACGAGAGTGGGTGGGTGGGTGGGTGGCACCACGCACGGCCGCCTTTGTCTCCCCAGTGACGCCGATGTTTACGACGCACCGTACCAAGGTTATTCATTTGAGGCCGAGTCTACCTAAGGGAGTCCCAGGACCGGTTCAGATAATCGTCACCGGCGTTGTTGGCCGCGAGCGGGAATCGAACTCGGGTGGGCGGGTTCGTAGCGCAGCGCGCTAACTGCTACAAAGATAAAGGCCCCCCGTATAGCCTGTAAGAGACTGTTGGGGCAAGTGCTGTAAGAGAGTAGCAGCACCACACAGACAAAGATCCCCCGTGTAGCCTCAACAGACTGTCGGGGCAAGTGCCTTTCACGAGCACCTATGAAAGCCGGCACGGCACACGAGGGGGTGGGTAGCCAGTACCACACAGACAAAGATCCCCCGTATAGCCTCAACATAATGTCGGGGCAAGTGCTCTTCGTGAGCACCTATGAAGGCCGGCACGGCACACGAGGGGGTGGGTGGCCAACACCACACAGACAAAGATCCCTCGTATAGCCTCAACAGGCTGTAGGGGCAAGTGCCGTTCGCGAGCACCTATGAAAGCCGGCACGGCACACGAGGGGGTTGGTGGCCAGCACAGCAAAGACAAAGATCCCCCGTATAGCCTCAACATAATGTCGGGGTAAGTGCTGTTCACGAGCACCTATGAAGGCCGGCACGGCACACGAGGGGGTGGGTGGCCAGCACCACGCACACGGACACGCACAGGGTCGTGTGGTGCGGTAGCGACATGCACCCTCTCCTGCCTGTCCACCGTAATTGATGGCACGTGCCACTTTACAAGGTAGCGTTGTTACAGGCGCCTGAAATCCCCCGGCTCTCGTCTCGATCGGGAGAGACTGAAATTGAAGCGGTCAAACTCTTCGTGGGTGCATCCTCCTGGTTCTTTCGGTAAAGTCATCACGTAGAAGGGAAGTAATAAAATAATAAAAATAAAACATAATAAAATAATTCTCACGACGTTTCGGCCACAACGCAAGCAGCCGTCCTTGTGTGCCGTGCCGGCCTTCATAGGTGCTCACTAACAGCACTTGCCCCAACAGTCTGTTAAGGCTACACGGGGGATCTTTGTCTTTTGTTGGTGGCCAAGGTTGAATAAATGCCACCGCCTTCTCCACCCCCCCCCCCGCACACAAAATATAAAGGTTTTGTTTTTTTACACATCTCATCAGCAACGCGTGACCCTTTTGTCAGACTCCTGGATGTTGAATGTTTCACTTCTGTCAAATTAGGGCCCATCTGTCAAACGTATATATACATTTTAAAAATCCCTTTCTCATCCGTAAAATGTAATGTTTGTTTTTTAAAATCCTTTATATTAAGTTCACTTGCTTGCTTGCGCGCTTACGACCGTGCAAATCTTTCGGTCGTTTTTTAACCCACTTCCCGTGATCCAATCGAGCTGACATTTTGCACACAGACTCGTTGTGCGTGACAATTTATTTTCGTCAAAATTTTTTCCATAACTTTACACTTTTTAGGAATTTTTTTTATATTTAATTACCAATTGCTTTAATGGTGGCAGGCAATCATCTGACCCATAGGTGGCAGCCATCTCAAGCCAGAGGACGAGAGGACTCTAGCCGCCACGCATATAAAGGATTTATAGTGAAAAACTTTGTTTTTACGGGTTAATTTTCTTTCTCGCGGTTTGGGTTTCGGGATTCAGACCGCAGCCTTGCGGCAAGGGACATCGTGAGCCGTGATGCCTTCAAGAGAACAACACCGGCTGCTGAACAGTTGAGCCAAACCAGATTGGGGCTGCCTTGCTACCGTGGCGTGTTAGAGGACTTTAGCCGGCTCGTGGTGGTGGTGGTGGTGGTGATGATGATGCACGTGGTGGTGGTGGTGGTGATGATGCACGTGGTGGTGGTGGTGGTGGTGATGCACGTGGTGGTGGTGGTGGTGCACGTGGTGGTGGTGATGATGCACGTGGTGGTGGTGGTGATGCACGTGGTGGTGGTGATGCACGTGGTGGTGGTGGTGGTGGTGATGATGCACGTGGTGGTGGTGGTGGTGATGATGCACGTGGTGGTGGTGATGGTGGTGGTGGTGATGATGCTCGTGGTGGTGGTGGTGGTGATGATGCACGTGGTGGTGATGATGGTGGATAAGCTGCACGTAGTGGTGATGATGGTGGATACGCTGCACGTAGTGGTAGTGGTGGTGGTGATGGTGGATACACTGCACGTAGTGGTGGTGATGGTGGATACGCTGCACGTCGTGGTGGTGATGGTGGATACGCTGCACGTAGTGGTGGTGATGGTGGATACACTGCACGTGGTGGTGGTGATGGTGGATACACTGCACGTAGTGGTGGTGATGGATACGCTGCACGTGGTGGTGGTGATGGTGGATACACTGCACGTAGTGGTGGTGATGGTGGATACGCTGCACGTAGTGGTGGTGATGGTGGATACACTGCACGTGGTGGTGGTGATGGTGGATACACTGCACGTAGTGGTGGTGATGGTGGTGGTGGTGGATACGCTGCACGTAGTGGTGATGATGGTGGATACGCTGCACGTAGTGGTAGTGGTGGTGGATACGCTGCACGTAGTGGTGGTGATGGTGGATACGCTGCACGTCGTGGTGGTGATGGTGGATACGCTGCACGTAGTGGTGGTGATGGTGGATACACTGCACGTGGTGGTGGTGATGGTGGATACACTGCACGTGGTGGTGGTGATGGTGGATACGCTGCACGTAGTGGTGGTGATGGTGGTGGTGGTGGATACGCTGCACGTAGTGGTGATGATGGTGGATACGCTGCACGTAGTGGTAGTGGTGGTGGATACGCTGCACGTAGTGGTGGTGATGGTGGATACGCTGCACGTAGTGGTGGTGATGGTGGATACGCTGCACGTGGTGGTGGTGATGGTGGATACGCTGCACGTGGTGGTGGTGATGGTGGATACGCTGCACGTGGTGGTGGTGATGGTGGATACGCTGCACGTAGTGGTGGTGGATACGCTGCACGTAGTGGTGGTGGTGGTGGATACGCTGCACGTAGTGGTGGTGGTGGTGGATACGCTGCACGTAGTGGTGGTGAGGGTGGATACGCTGCACGTAGTGGTGGTGATGGTGGATACGCTGCACGTAGTGGTGGTGATGGTGGATACGCTGCACGTAGTGGTGGTGATGATGGTGGATACGCTGCACGTAGTGGTGGTGGATAAGCTGCACGTAGTGGTGGTGATGG